TATAAGGTTGCAATAATCTATGCTATCTGCTTTATGCAGACGGTATAGATTGAATAGTATCTTAAAAGTCATATCATATATTGACACTGTTTTAAAAGATGTATAAAATCTAAGACGACCTTATACAACCGCACCATTCAGTTTTTCCACCATTCAATTTTTCCATAGACTGATTAGGTCCATGGAGGCCATTTTCTATATAGGTCATTTTGGGAATTGAAAAACGAGATAATTTGATAGATATTTCTAGTGATTTCCTTTTTTTAAAGGGGTGAAGTTCATTTTTGTCATAGTGAGCAATACTTCATTTAAAATGTTTCTTTTTTTCAAAAATAATGCGATTGTTAGTCGTGATTTTTAAAATGGCCTAAAAAACCTCACCTTAGAAAGAAAGTATTTCCATATCACATATATTCTCAAAATAGGTTTTAAAAAACATTTAAAATTTGTCTTAAATGTCTTCCATTTTGTCATTACTTTCCTTCAAAATTTTCTAGATTTGCTTTTAGACTCACCAATTCTTGAAAGCATGCATGCAGTGCCTTCAGAAGGATGGCTTGGGATCAATGTCTTCGAATTTCAGAATTCGGAAGAAGAAAAACAAGATGTTTATATAAAGGATGGTTCGAGATCAAGGTCTTCATGTATGTATGATTTGAAGTACTAGAGGTTTTCTCTAGAGGATCATTTTATTTTGATGTGTATGCCTTCCATCTAAACCTAGGGGAGATGGGAGATGAATTCTAGTTTGTTCTATGACTCCTTGATAGACTTCATTTTTGTGTACTCTATAAGCTTGGTTTCAATTTTTGTTTTTATAACTGGTTTGTTCCCTCTGATTCTGGGTTTTTATCTGAGCTTTTTATCTCCCTATCTCGAATAATCCATTTGCGGTTTTCATAGCTGGTTTGTTTCGGCTTTTGATTTATTTCTAAAAAAAAGCTTGGGTTTGGAGATTGGGTCTTTCATTTCGAGGTCAATTTTGAAGTGGGTTTCATCTGGTTTTAGGAATTGTGGCTAAATTCTCTTTAAAATGTGGGGAAATGGATGTTGTTATTGGGAAAGAAAGGAAGGAGAATCCTGTAGAATTGTTGTGGTATTTGCTTGGACGTCGAGTAAGAAGAAGCATGTAAAACCCTTTTCCAATTGTGGATTATTTGGGTGGAATTCTTTGATCGGCCATTCTAACCTTCTCAACCTCTAAGTACTTGGGAAATTATCTGAAATATATCTTAACTTTCGTCTAATTGGAACAAAAAAATCCTAAACTTTCATAAACCTTGTTCACACCATTTTTTCCTCATTTTTGACATTTTTTACCTAAAATGGCATTCACTTATTGACATTTTTTTATGCAATATAGCCGTCAAGGTAGTCATATTACCGTAATGACCACAACCATAATGTTCACTGAGTGTTACGATACTATAAGTACTGTTATTCATGATACATCTTATATGGCACTTAGGTGCCTCCCATTCCATCCCCACCAATGTGAAAACAAAAAAAAAGATGAAGAATAGCAATGCCCCTATAATATTTTCATTTATCTTCTCTTTCATGTCTATCTTACAAATTAGAAAGATAATCTTTTTTGACAAATAATTAGAAAGATATTCTTTCCGTATTTTATCTCTCGCTGCACAACACTTTTCTTTTTATCTCTTCTTGTATCATATGCGAATATATCTTTATACTATTTTTTATTTATCTTCTCTTTATCTTTTTTAATTTGAGAAGATATCTTCTTAAATCTTTCTTTTTCAAGATTCTGGGGACTTTTTAAAAATGGAAACTCCCTCTCTCTCACGTAACTCTCTCCCTCATACCTGTACATATCTTTCCAGATCTCTTAAGCATTATTTTTAAGAATCACCTCCTATCCTATTTAAAAGGCACAAAAAATTTAGGGGTTTTTAAAAACGAAAGTCCATCTCCCTTTCTCTCACGTAACTCTTTCTCTCGTACACCCTTACATCTCTCCCTACCTCTTAAACATTATTTAAAAGGCACCAAAGAATTTAGGGGTTTTGAAAAGGAAATTCTTTCTCTCCTCCTACGTAACTCTCTCTATCTTTATCTCCCTCATGCAATAAAGGAAGTAAATATATAGAAAATCCCGCCATCTCTCCCAAGTGTAGAGATAAATATGAGGAAGAGATGTTGTGATTCTAAATATAGTGAAACAAATAGAGATGACAAGGATAAGTTATCCTGCGATGGATTGGGTTGCAATGTTTATCAAGTCACCTTCCCCATTCTTCCGCTTTGTAATAAGGAGAAAATACAATTATCTCACTTTAAATACCATAGTAGATGATCAATTAATCACGGTGCATAGAACTATGCTTTGGAACAAGGAAAAAATATGATTACCTCACTTTAAATACCATAGTAGATGATCAATTAATCACGGTACATAGAGTATTGTGATGCTAAAGAAAACCTTCAAGCCCAAAATTGAGAAAAAAGGGTATGGATGAGCTTTATAAAAGTTTGGGGTTTTTTTCTCTACTCTGGGTTTATCGTTTTGTGTTTCTTTATTTGATTGAGGATATAATGGTTGTTCCACTTATTTGTATAAATTAGAGTAATTTTTTCCCTGGTTTGAGCCTTTAGTTTCTTTGTTTGATTGACTGCGGATACGATGGTTGTTCCACTTATTTGTTTGTTTCTGGTTTAGGTCTTTGTATTTTTTTTTTTATCTCTCTTGAAGATAATATATCTTTTTGCAAATCACTTCTTCTTTTAATTTCCTTCCATGTGAGATGGGTTTGATATCTTAGAAGAATATAAGCTAGATTTAAGATGAAATGTCGGGGTGTATGTTTGTGTTTTTCTTTTTTCTTTTTTGTGGGGAGGGGGGTAGAGAGAGACTAAGAGAGGTGTTCAATAGAGGAACTTTATATGATAATGTTGAAAACCTAAAATGTAGTACCTTCACAAAAAAAAAAAAAAACACTAAAATGACCAAAAGTGTTAGGAAGATGTAGAAAATTGATTGATGTTCTTTGTGGAAAAGGATTTAAGAGGAGATGTGGAGGTTGGACTTGATATAATTCTTTTTTTTTTTTTTCTTTTGTTCTCAACAAGAGTACTTTGTCCAATTATCCACTAGGCACCAGGGAAACGATGTATCTCCCATAGCCCAAGGAATGTTGTTAAGAGAGTGGCCTTTAAAATGAATATTGAAAAAGTGTCAAGAGAAAAGATATTTACATGATCTTAATTGATCTAGAAAAAAAAGCTCTTGACAAAGTTCTTCGAGATTTTTATTTGATGGATATTGGAAAAGAGAAGAGTCTCCAGATACAACTTGACTTGATGAGAAATATGTACGAGGAAGTGTTAATTAGTATTAATTGGGCTAGAATGAAAACTTTCCAGAGCATTTTTTCAAAAAAAAAAATTTTGTGATTGTTCTTTTTAATGAAAAGAGTGTACCTATAAAAATTTGTGTTAAACAAATATCTCTGATATGGGTTTTGAAGATGGTTGCATTATACTACTATACAACCGTTACATGAAATCATTCCCTTTCTTTTGCATTGATCTTAGATGAATTTTTTGGGCTATTTTTAAATGACAATGCCCCTCACAATCAAACACGCTAAATTTTAAAGTTCAAAGCCTTTATTTGGTCTGGAGTTGAAACCCAAAGTGGAATCACATTCAAATTACTGAACCGACATCGATTCATCATGTTGAACCAAAGTCGAGGCTGGTTTGGCACTTGGAGCACCATACTAGTTTTGGTTCAAAATTATTTTCCTTGGCTGGTTCAACACTGGAAGCGTCAAACCTTCCTTTTTTTTTTTTTTTTTTTTTTTTTTTTGCCCGGTCTCGCTTTCATTCTACGCAATGGAGTCCAATGTCGGTTCCCTGTTTGGAGTGCCAAACTAAAATTTAGGTTTCAAATTTAAGCTTAAAATTTAACGTGTTTGACTGTGAGGGGCGTTTTCATCCAAATGACATAAAATATTCACCAGGGTTTAATGCAAAGCAAGACCATAGTAGGCTTTTCAGTGTAAAAACAAAAATAGTAGGGGGTCGTATGTGTAGGAAAATCAATGCAAGGGTTTGTGTAGTATTTCACTAAGGCAAACAAATATACCAATTGGGGTATTTCTATTTTTACAAAATATTCGAACATTACCAATATCAATTTCCATCTTCGAATTCCCAAGTTCTTGAGAGGTGCTAAGTTTAATACCTTGCAATAATCATACAGTAATAAGATTGACTTGCATGCTTATAAGATATCCAACTTGTATTGTGATCAATATGATCTAATTGGTATTAATAAAGTTATTGTTTAGGCACACAACCAAGCCATTATCCTGCAATATGATCAGAGAGGGATATGTACTAATTAATTTAAGAATTTATATAATATTTATTCAAGAATATGAATATTGAAATGACATGTAATAATTAATTTAAGAATTTATTTATATATTTAAATTGAAATTTCTATGTATTTTTTAGAAGCTCAGCCTGCGGCATTCTAAGAAATTTAAGAGGTTCATGATATTTATTTAAGATTTCCTTATTTATTTGAGATTTTCTACCGGTATCTTTTTTCACAATTCGCCTATTAGATTTTCGGTCATTTAAAAACTCTTGTTCTCACATTTATCTAATAACCTGTAAGAATTGATCAATATTTTTTTTTCTGATCTTGTATAGAGAATGCAATATAGTTAGGAAAATCTACATGATATTTCATTCAAGTGACACTCTTGGATCTTATATTCTCTAAAACCTTGCATCTACCATACATAATGAAGCTCAGAAGCTTCCTTTGCATTCCTTTCTTTATCATGCCTTTAATTTAAGGAAAAGTATACCTTTAATTTAAGAAAAAGTATACAAAGAGATCATTTATTTTTAGTACAAAGAGATCATAATCACTCTTGCCTATCAAGTTTCAAATCGGGTGGTTCTAAAAGTATCATTAACTAGACTCTAGTGAAAAATATATATATATATTCTCAAACTTCGTTACATATCCCTAACCATCCGATTTGAAATATAATGGTTAGGATTAATCATGACCTCCTTGTAACAAAGATAAATGGTTTTACGATATACAAACCCTCAATTTAATACAAATCAATGGATTGGACTTAATTTAATACAAATCAATGACTTGGGAAAATATATCTGTAAAACATGCCATGCTTAGTTTGGCTCCTGTAGCCCAGTCCCATTGCCCTGAGATGATCCATAGATTCAACTCAATGTCATGGACCTCAACTATCTCTTTCTTTTTTATCCTTCCATATTTGCCACCATGGCCCAAATTTTGCTGCTCTGTTCCTTTCAAAAACTTTTTATGTAGTTCTGAACAAGCACCCATCAAGCATAACAAGGCAGATACTCTGTAATCCACAAAAAGTATCAGCCTTCTTTATTAATTCTCAAAGTTAGGCAACTTTTCAAGTATTCACCACCTTTCTGTTATGCTCATCTCAAGAAAACATAACCTTAAGGCTGCAACAAGAAGCCCCTACCAATTGACCTACAAATTCATTCTCTTAGATATCACCAGAAGCCTCTACAAGAACAGTCCCCTTCCTTAAAATGATGAAACCGACTCGTATCCCTCACTATAATCTCGTGCTCCAAAACCGCCGACATGTACTTAATCGCGGTGTGGCAATCCCCACAAACCCGTAGATTCTTCGCTATCCTTATTGGCATCCCTGCAGGTGTATTTAGCACACCATATGCAACCGCGAGCTTTTCACTATGCTCAGAGAGAAGCCACCCCTTCTCCTCTTCATCCACATCATGAAGAGCAAAGCTGGTCTCTGGTACATAGCCCATCCCCTTTATCTTCTCTATTAATGACCTCAAAACTTCGTAAATTTTATCAGAGTCTGGGTTTGATCGATCGCCTACATAAAACGTAGCTGTACCCGACTTCCCCTGAACCCAGCTACAGCCTGGTCTCTTCCTTATTCCAGCCTTTCTCATCAGAGCTCGAACTCTCGCTACATCTCCCCATCGACCTGCATTTGCATAAATATTCGAGAGAAGAGTGTAGGTGCCTGCATTCTCAGAGTCGAGTTCCATGAGCTTCTGAGAAGCTAACTCTGCAAGCTCAACATGAGCATGGGTCCTACAGGCACTGAGTAGGGCGACCCAGACCACTGCACTAGGCTCCATGGGCATTGAGCCTATGAGGACCTGAGCCTCATTGAGCCGGCCTGCACGCGCTAGAAGGTCCACCATGCACGCATAGTGCTCAACCCCTGGCCTCACGCCAGAGTCCTTTGTCATGCTATTGAAATACAGCCATCCATGGTCGACGAGCCCTGCATGACTGCATGCGTACAAGACCACTAAGAACGTTATGTCATCAGGTGGGAGCCCGGCTCTTCGCATGCTCTCGAATGTGGCTAATGCCTCAACGCCTCGGCCGTGCAAGCCATAGCCAGTCATCATGGTAGTCCATGAAATAGAGTTTTTATGGGGCATATAGTCAAACACCTTTCTAGAATCGTTGACGTCCCCACACTTCGAGTACATGTCTATGAGGCAGTTTGAGATGAAGAGAACAAGGTAAAACCGGTGCCTGAACACAAATGCGTGAATTTGCTTGCCGATGCGGAGGGCAGAGAGGTGAGCACATGCGATCAATGCGCATGATATGGTGAAAGCATTAGGCGAGGCCTTGGCGGTGAGCATTTGAGAGAAGAATTGCAGGGCTTCATTGGCGTGCCCATTTTGAGCATAACCACCTATCATCACTGTCCAAGTGACCACGTTCCTCTCCGTGAATGCCACCGAGTCGAAAAGCCTCAGCGCGTGCTCGTAGTCCCTGCATTTTGCGTATGTGTCTATCAGAGCATTCTTCACCATGAGGTTGTCACACCAGCCAAACTTTGTAATGTAGGCATGGATTTCTCTACCATGAAGCAATGCACCAGCAGAGGAACACGCAGAGAGGAGCGAAATCAATGTCACATGGTTTGGCTCGGCGCGTGCCACCTGCATCTCACGAAAGACTCGCAGGGCCTCGGTGCCACGACCCCTCTGAGCATACCCTGATATGACCGCACTCCATGTGATAACATTCAAACCAATCTTCAAGGCCTCCATCTTTGCCATGAGTTTCATCGCTTCCTCACATCTCCCATTTTGTGACAACCCGGTAACAATCGAATTCCATGACACAATGTCCTTAACCCCCATGTTCTGAAACACAGAGAGTGCCTCTCCCATTAGTTCGCATTTTGCATACATATCGATCAAAGCATTACCCACTAAGACATCTTCAGAGAGCCCATGCCGCATTGTATAAGCGTGTATTTCGCAGCCCGAGCGACCAGCTCGCAAGGTGCCACACGCAGGAAGAACATTTACAATAGTGACCCTGTCGGGCTTCGGGTTCTCATGCATCATCATGTGAGCAAAGACATCAAGTGCACCAGCAGGATGATAATTTTGCGAGTAGGCAGCGATGAGGGAGTTCCATGATATTGCGTCCCTTTCAAGCATTTCATCGAAGACTTGGTGCGCGACTGAGATTTCAGAGCAGCGAGCATAGAAGGCTATGAGGGAATTGGAGACAAAGATGTTGGATACAAAGCCGAGGGTAGCGGCAAGAGCATGGAGCACACGGCCAAGAGAGATGAGAGAGAGAGAGCCGCATGATTTGAAAAGGAAGGGGAAGGTGAAGTTGTCTGGGTTTAGAGAGAGAGAGGAGCGCATGTGTTGGTAGAGAGAGAGAGCCTCGGTATAGAGGCCGCTGTCTACTCTGTGTTTGATGAGGAGGTTGCAGGCGAAGACTGTGGGGCGACATGATGATGAGGAGGAGGAGGAGGAGGAGGAGAGTTTGCGCAGGTGACGAGAGAAGTGAGCGGGGTAGCTTGCTCGTAAACCACGTAAGCGCACCATAATATGTCATGTTCCCTCTCTGATATTTATTTATGGACTCGGTTTTTATAAGTCCTAGGACTCATGTGTAGATATGCGCTCTCTCTTCCTTATATTTTCCCAAACCGGATCTGATCCAAAAATTAAAATATCTATATATATTTAATTATGAGTAATGATCCTATGAGACCCATGTGCATAGGATTCCAAAAAATCACCATTAAATTTGACACAGATCTCTAAAAAAGTTATCACCTAAATGTGGGACTTGATTTTTCTAGAGATCTATGCCAAATTTAATAGTGGGGTCCTACACATATGGGCGTGAAATGTCTCATAGGATCATTACTCTTTAATTATATTTAAATATATTTTATATATTGGAACTCGAAAAATATTATCGAATGCGAACCCAAGCCCAAGCCCGACTGGACCCGTTCGAAGCTACACTCGAATAGTGATTGGGTCCAAGATTTGGACACGAACTCGTCCCATCAGGTCTAATTTTTTGCACCCATACCCATACCTGAATCGGGTTTACACCTCGGGCCCCGGATCCGGTCCGAGTCCATTGCCACTTCATAATGCATTTTGCTTCCTTGAAAGTAGAGGAGGCAGTTGGGTTGGGTCAACCATCCAACCTAACATGGGTTCAGACCTGGACACAAATATTGGACGCAATGGATCGGTCCTAGTCTAAGTGACCTGGACCCAACTAGGGTCAGATATGAGTCTAGGTCCGTCATGGACCTTATCGGGTCAGTCGAGCCAAGGTCCACCAAACCGATATTTCTATATAATACATGTATATATTGCAACTCTATTTATATATGGGAAAAGTTTATAGAGAGCCGAGGCTCTAAACAATCAAATTTAAGCCTACCTAAAAAATTTCATTAGAAGATGTTGTTTTGATGCCCAAATATCTTCAAATTGATCATCTTGACATCAAGATGCATGGACATGAGGACAATTTGGATTTCAAGTTTTGGAAATAGTCCATTTTGTTACGTATTTTTGGACCGTCAATTTTAAAGATTTTCATAGATATGTCGATCTGCACAATTTTTGAAGCTTTAAACTTTATAAATAAATATGAAAACATATTTTAAGGCTATCACAAAGATTTCCATTAGCGAAACCACATCTCTCGACACCATTTGAAGGTACGCTAGAATTTGATTGTTTAGAGCCTAGGCTCCATACAAACCGTACCCTTTATATATTATAAAACATAATTTTCTTCTATTTAGACACACACCACCAGGTCAGATCTGGTGAAATAACCTAAACGCTATGGGCATTTTGAAATTAAATCAAAAGATATGAGTGAGGTGTTTAATTTTTAATTTCTCATAAGTAATTTGATAAATTTCCCTTTTTTGCATGGGTGTGATCTATATAGAGCTGAGACTCTAAACAATCAAAGTAAAGCGCCCCTTCAAATAGCGTCGAGAAATATGGCTTCAATACTGGGTATCTTTGTGATAGCCTTAAAATATATTTTCATTTTTAAATATAAAATTTAAATCTTCAAAAATACTGTAGATCGAGCAGATATATGAAAACTTGAAAATCTTGAAATTTGAGGACCGAAGAATGCGCTATAAGATGCACTATTTCCAAAACTTGAAAAAACAAATTTCTCATGTCCATGCATCTTGATATCGAGATTATCAACTTAAGGAAATTTGAGCATCAAAACAACCTCTTCTAGTGAAATTTTTGAGGTGGTCTCTAATTTGACTGTTTAGAGCCTCGACTCTATATACACATTGTCTTGATATTAGTTTATTCAAAATTTATTAAAGGGTACAGTTTGTATAGAGCCAAGGCTCTAGACAATCAAAGTAGTGCACACCTTCAAATAGTTTCGAGAAATGTGGTCTCAATACTGAAAATCTTTGTGGTAGCCTTAAAGTATATTTTCTTCTCTAATTATAAAATTTAAAACTTCAAAAAAAATGTAGATCAAGCAAATCTATGAAAACTTGAAAATTAATGGTCCAAAAATGCATTACAAGATGCACTATTTCCAAAACTTGAAATCCATTTTTTTCTCATGCCT